ATAATTGTGGAGACGATTCAACATTACATGCCAATTTTTGCTTGAACCATGATGGTAAATAAGCATGTATGTCAGTAGTTGTTGCTTGCTCACAGATAAGTTCATAATAATAGTTATCAAATGACCTATATCGAAACATATTAAAAGTAAGTTAGAAGGTAAGAAGTTTATATCAAATGTGTTCAAAATAAATATTCATTTGGTATACTTACTCAATGTATGGTTTAACTTCAATGCAATTAATCAATACTTGAACATGAACAGATTGCAATTCCTTTTCGGTCAGCCAGTGCACATTCGTCTTTCCAAAACTCCGACCAGGAAGACCAAAGACTGATAAGGTGAATTGACTTCTTTCTGTAAGATTAACTTCATTCCTTACGATTCACTAGTAGAAAAATTACTTTTTAGTAAAGGTTGTTAAGTCAGTTAACTTACCACCTGACTTAAGAAGCGATGCGGTGGCAATTTCGTAAATATTTGTAACTTAGTTAAGTCGGGTGCATTTAAAACTGATTTAACAAAAATTAAATAAAAAAATATATAATTCACTTTAAATTTCTTAAGTCATATGTGGTTACTAACTGACTTAAAAAATCAATTTATTAAGTCAGGTGTCTTCCACCTAACCTAAGAAGTTTTATTTACTTAAAACAAACTAAATTCTGGGTGCATCATAGGGGAATCGAATTAGGTATTCTTGAACAAACTTGAACAAACTAGAAACCCTAATCAAACTTCCCTCCAACGCCGTCCAATGCCCTTCTTTCTCACTTTGCGATCTCCTCGTCTTCATCTGGAATTTTGCGGCTTCTCCGTTCTCCTTGTTGCTTCGCGCTTTGGTGGTTAACCTGCAGCTCAACAAAGATTGCAAAAGTGATTTGAAGAAAATAAGCTTTTACCCAAGAATAGGAGTCGGCGGCGGCTCGTTAACGGTGGCGGTGAGGTGATGATGAATCCTCGAGGATGATTTGAGCCTCACGGTGATGATGAGTCTCCTCCGGTTTGAGCTTTTCTGCTTCTCTTGTAATAGCGACTTCTTTCGTAGGAAGGGGAAGCCAACCGGGGTTTCTCTCAGGGAAGCGGCTAGTCTTCCCTTCGCTGCATGTACTGTCTGGTCATCTATCTTTATCACTAGCAGACTATATAGAGGGGAAACCTTGTTGGTAAGCATGGTTCTTGATTCTTGCCTTGCTATTGATCTTTTATCTTCGTGTTAACTTTATGAATTCTCAGATTCATGGAGGTTCTGGCGGAATCGACGCATTTGCAATTAAGGCAGCTAAGTTGGGTGGATCAAGAGTAATTGTAGTTGCAGGTTCACTATTTCTTTTTATGTTTTTGAATATTTACTCAGTTTGATGTCTTTAAGCCTTGACATGATTGAAATTCCAAGCGATGTTTGCATAAATTTGATTCTAGATATTACTATGCAGATGATCAAGAGAAGCTATCTTATTGTGCGAGTATTCAAGCCGATGTTTGCATCAATTACAAAATTGAGGACTTTGCTGCTAGAGTGAAGGAAGAAACTGGTGGTCGAGGTATGAAGCTTGGTGTAGATTCTTGATATCTTTGTTTTTTGATGAGGTAATATTATTACCATTGATTTTGTGGCAGGTGTTGATGTTATTCTTGATTGTACAGGAACATCTTGCTTTCAGAAAAATATTGAGTGCTTGAATGTTAATGGAAGGCTTTTCGTTATCGGCACTCTAGGGGCGACTTTGTATACACAGATGGATCTAAGGGATTTAGTTACCAAGCGTCTCACTGTCCAAGGTATCACAATCTGAATGTAAGTATTGGCCTTCACAATTCGAGTAAAAACATGGTTTGGTGGATTATGTGCAGAGGGTTACTTGCAGAATAGGAGTGCTAGAAGCAAGCAATTGATCATTGAAGACGTGAAGAAGAATCTTTGGCCTGCAATTGGAAATAGAAAGGGAATGATAAATCCTTTGGTCCACCAATGTTTCACTTTTTCTGAAGCAGATGAGGCTCACCAGCTTGTGGAAACTGGTCACCAGATTGGGAAAGTATTGCTTATGCCATGAAAACCATGTTGAATTCTAGATTGATGTGTACATGAAACATGATGTTTTTGAATCTTTTGAGCTTTAGACATATGTTTAATCGATATGAACGAAGCAACATATTCTTTTGAATCATTTGAGTTTAGACCTTTGTTGATTGATGTGTATATGAAGCAACATTGTTTTGGATCATTTGAGATTAGGCCTTTGTGTATTCTGACTTCTGTTAAATAAAGTCCTGTTTTAATTACCTTCTTCACCATCTCTACAAAATAAGTCATTTATAGTTACGTATGGAGATCTACATGAAGCAACCAATGGATTTTCTTCATCTAATTTGGTAGGAAGGGGAAGCTTTGGTTCGGTTTACAAAGGATCACTTCTTAACTTTGAAAGACCTATTGCTTTAAAGGTGTTGAACCTTGAAACACGTGGGGCAGCAAAGAGTTTTGTTGCAGAATACAATGCTTTAGGAAAGATGAAACATCGTAATCTTGTTAAGATCTTAACTTGCTGTTCAAGTGTTGATTATCAGGGTGAAGAATTCAAGGCTATTATTTTTGAGTTCATGCCTAATGGGAGTCTAGAGAATTTTTTGCATGATAATGAAGGGTCTGGAAATCACACTCTCATCTTATCAAAAAGGGTAGACATTGCTCTTGATGTAGCTCATGCATGGGATTATCTTCACCATGATGAAGACCAAGTTATAGTTCACTATGATGTCAAGCCAAGCAATGTTCTTATTGATGAAGATATGGTAGCTCACTTGGGAGACTTTGGTTTAGCAAGGCTCATTCATGGATCCACAAGTAAAGATCAAGTTGACTCCTCAACAATTAAAGGGACTATATGATATGTTCCTCCTGGTAATGTTCTTTCTATCCCTTGCTTGTTACTATATATCATTCATAATGTTTTACATTATACTCTTTTATTTGTTTTATTTTAAAGTTTTTGTTTGTTTGGTTTAATAATTTTTCATTATTAGGTGTTTAGTGTATTTTGTGTTAACAACAAATCATATTTTTTGGATTTCTAGTTTTTAATGAACATATCTATCTGCTCCTCTTTTAGTTTTTCATTTCATTGTGCTGCTGCAGAAATAAGAGATCATTTACCTGATGGTTGTCTATCTGTTTCTCAGGGCACCTGAACTTCTTCTTGGGGCAAGAAAGTACTCAACAACTATTGATATGTGGTCTCTTGGTTGTATAATGGCTGAACTTTTGTCTAAGGAACCACTGTTCAATGGAAAAATAGATTTTGATCAACTTGACAAGGTATATAGTGTCAATTATTTGGTAGAATGTATGCTCCATTTTTCTCTTGGTAATTTTGTTGTATTGTGCCTAGCCACTTTTCTCTTGGTAACTTTCACATGTTTTAACAATTTCAAAATTTATTCCTACAGATGTATCCTTTATTGGAGAGGATAAGTCCAAGAACTAGAAAGCTGGAGTTGTTCGCCCGCATGCACAATACTCATGCAGGGTAAGTTTTCAGTTTTCATTTTGAGTTCCAGGGTATTCTTAAAATTATTTGATTGGGATTTTAAATGGGCCTAGATGTTATGTTAATCAAGCTCACTTGATAATGTTCTATATCAATTAAATGATTTCTTGGACTAAAAAACTAATCTGGTTGTAGTTGTTTGTTTAGGGGAAAAAACATCTGTAGAAATCTTGAGTTGTTTATGTTGTAGGTAGCAGTTTATAAGACAAGGTCTGTATGTGTTGCCTTCCTCGCAAACGTAGACACGAAATCTGATAAAACTGTAAATTTTAGCGGAAATTCATATCACTTGCCTGCATGGTCTGTGAGCATCTTACCTGATTGCAAGAATGTAGTGCTTAACACTGCAAAGGTTTGTCCTCCCTTCATTTGTGCTAAGTTGCTTGCATAATGATGATATTCATAATAACAACAACATTTTTATGGCAGATTAATTTTGCATCTGCAATTTCAAGCTTCGTAACCGAATCTTCGAAAGAAGACATTGGATCTTTAGAAACTTCTAGTTCAAAATGGAGTTGGACAAGCGAACTTGTTGGTATTTTGAAGGATGATTCATTGTCAAAAACTGGATTACTCGAGCAAATAAATACCACGGCTGATAGAAGTGACTACTTGTGGTACTCGTTAAGGTAGTTAAGCCTTTAAGTTTGAAAGATATTTCGTCTAACTCGTTAACATAAATGATGTTGAGGTTGTGGTTGCTCACATGGATCTTGATGTGGTATGCATTGATTTCCATATTTAAATGTACTCAATGCAATTTTAACGACATTTTTCCGATAAACAATTAATTACTGACTCGATTTTCAACTCATTTGACTACTACTAGGTTACAAGCCTTAGAGGATCTTTAAGCAGTTTCTAAGAACAAGCAAGTTGTAAAGTCAAGGTTCCTTCTGTAGATGTACCATACAGTCTATGTCTTCCTTTTGATCTTAAAATATGACTTTCTGTCCCACTTAAGGTTAGTTAATAAAAATAATTAGATTTAAAGATTCTAATGTTTCTGTTGAAATTAATCAAACAGCCAAGTTTCTAAATTGAACATTATTATATTATTACAGATAAAATATCATTCTCTTGAGGAAGAAATAGCATTTGGACCTGCTTGCTGGTTATGGGACTTTTTAAGAAGAAGTGGAGCATCTGGTTTTCTGCTCCCTCTTTCTGGCGGAGCAGACAGTTCCGTTGTTACTGCGATTGTTGGGTGTATGTGCCAGCTGGTTGTGAAAGATAAATTCAAATTTTCTATTTCTTATCAACTTGTGACAGTACTTCAACACTATAGTTTGGATACCATCAACTAGTGATTCATATTTGACTTCAGAAATTGCAAATGGGAATGAACAAGTTAAAGCTGATGCAATACGAATTAGAAACTATAAGGATGGACAGTATCCAAGAGACAACAAAGAATTTGCTAAACGAATATTTTATACTGTGTTCATGGGATCTGAAAACAAGTAAGTGATAATTATCATGTTAGAGTTCATGGGATCTGGAAACTATAGGGTTTAACGGATATATTTTCTCCTTGCAGTTCAGAAGCTACGAAGTTGCGAGCCAAGGTGCTGGCAGATGAAGTTGGTTCATGGCATCTTGATGTTAGCATTGATGGACTTGTATCTTCTTTTTTGTCATTGCTTAAAACACTTACAGGAAAGCGACCACACTACAAGGTAATTGAATCATGGGCTTATGCATTATTTCAATCCTCATAAAAACATACTTGAACCGTGTATTCTATGGTGTGATCACTTATACAGGTAGATGGTGGATCTGAAGTTGAGAATTCAAGCTTACAAAACATTCAAGCTCAAATCAGAATGGTGCTAGCTTACATGTTAGCGTTACTCTTGCCTTGGGTTCACAACAAACCTGGGTTTTATCTTGTCTTGGGAAGCACCAATGTCGATGAAGGGTTAACTGGGTGCTTGACCAGGGTATCTCCATAAGTGTTTTTTTGTGTGACCTATGTGGTTTAAGATTACTCTCTATTCTATTTCATATTTTCACAGATGAAGTTCAAAACATGTCGCTTGTTTGGTTGAATCTTTATAAACAAGAAACAAAGTTTAGTTTCTCATTATGTGATAATTTTCTAATATATACTTGTGTTAATATACTTGGTTCTACATAATTTTGTGATAATAAAAAGAAGAGTTAATTTTCTGATAATTTTGGGTGTAATTTGTTGATTGAGTTGGATAGTCTGATTTGGGGATAAATTGTTAAATGGAAAAACTGCATCTGATTTGTGTGATTATCCACAAAAAAACAACTTCTTAGGTCGGTTAGTTATACCCGATTTAAGAAAGTAAGTTCTTAGGTCGGGTATAAATGGTTTCTGCAGGCTATACTTATTAAGTCGGGTTCTGTCTAACCGACCTAATAATAGTTTGTTAAGTCAGGTCTACAACCGACTTAAGAAGTCAAAACTTCTTATGTCGGTAATTCTTAGGTCGGGCTCGGACCCGACTTAAAAATTCATTTTTAAACGACTTAAAAAGCCTTTTTTCCACTAGTGATTCCTTAAATTAACATCATGTGATTGAAATAATGAGAGTAAAAATGTGATGTTTCTCGATGTAAATAATGTGCACATATTGAACCCAAAACTTTAGCCTTATTTTTTATTGATCTCTTTGAATCACCTATGAATCTTTCAAAAGGATACTTCCTCATATACTGAACAAGCCCACCAAGAAAAGCTTCATATGCAAGATGAACAGGAAGATGTTCCATTGAATTAAAAAAAATAGGTGAAAAAATTAGTTCTAACTTGCATAGAATTAGAGGAATGTCTTGGTCCAATTTAATGAGGTCATCCACTCTTAAAATTGATGCACAAATATCTCTAAAGAATGGCTAATTTCAGTTAGTGGATTAAGCACTTGTGTTGGTAATGAGCTAAAGGCAATTGGAAGTAATCGTTCCATGAAAATATGGAAATTATGAATTTTCATTCCATTCAACTTCTCAGTGTTGACATTAGCACACCGTGCCAAGTTAGAAGTATAACTATCGGGCATTCTCAATTCATTTAATCATCGGCAAACAAGCTTGGCTTCATGGGGAGTTAGACTATAAGTAGCTTTGGGTTTTAATAGTTTTCCATTCGGTAGAGTCTTCAACTCTAAATATTATCGATTACACAACAGTTCCATGTTCTTTCTATCATTCTCATTATCTTTTGTCTTGCCTTAGACATCCATCACTGTGTTAAATGCATTATCAAAAGAATTATTCTCTATGTGCATAACGTCAACATTTTATCGCAATAAATCATCTTTCCAATATGAATATCCAGTTCCCGGTGATTGGGCGATATGGAGTAAAATTATCAGAGCACAATCCGAGTCTGGCATTTCTAGGTTCTGCAGCAAAATCAGGATGCATTTGATCAAGGGGCTTTCGTTCCTCGCCATCAAATGGATGTCGCATAATGTCTGAACTTGTTTTGTTTGTATGATGCCATGTCATTTGACTTGCACTGTGCATTGAAGCAAACATTCTCTGTAACCTTGGTATTATTGACAGATAAAGCATTGGTTTCACTGCTAAGCGTTTTTTGTTACGACCAATGGCTTTAGTGCAAACTATATACCTTGGACTGTTACAAAACTTACATTCCTCTAATGTTCCATCCTTTGTACCAAACTCATTGTCATAGAATAACATGAAACCACTAATGCAACAATCAATCTTCCTTACTTCTAAACCCAACTTCATAACCAACCTCTTCACGTTATAATAACTTCTAGGCAAATTGTCTTTCCTAGGAGTCGCATCCAACATCATTTGAGGAAAATATTCCAAACACTGATATGGAACATTCCAGTTTGGCTTCGCGGCCAATAATATCACTCACATAGATAATTTAGAGTTTTACGAACCATCAAACAATGGTGTGTTTATTTCTTTCAACAACTGATAAAATTTTTGAGCTTTCTCATTCGACAACTCTTCCCCATCACTATCTTATTGTTCATTGTAGTAGGTCTCGTTCACCCCTAAAGCATCGCCAATCATGTCATCGGGTAGATTAAATTTTTCTTCATATTCCATCTTTGATCGACTACTTGAACTCTATTATAAATTACTAGTCTCCGGCATATTCATCGACATTTCTTCCCCATTTGATGTCCAAACCCAGTAATTATCCTTAAATCCCTTTATCTTCAAATGAGTTTCTACTTCTTCCGAATTACTTATAATACGTCTACATTCACATTTCAAACACTGACATTTTACTCCTCCTTCTCTCTGACAACATTCTTGATCAAATATCCGGATAATAAACGTTTTAACTCCTTCCTCAAAATGTGGTTTAAGTCAGCGTCTTCTATCATATATACGATCGTACATCCAACTACGATAGTATTTATAATATTTCATACTGCACGTTTACAATATCGTACCCATTATAATCACAAAAATGTTTTTAACCAATTGATTAATTCGAAATTTTTGGTCAATTATATAAAATAACAAGCGCACACACACACACACACACACACACACACACACACACACACACACACACACACACACACACACACACACACACACACACACACACACACACACACACACACACACACACACACACACACACACACACACACACACACACACACACACACACACACACACACACACACACACACACACACATATATATATATATATATATATATATATATATATATATATATATATATATATATATGTTCTGGCCTGGGCCCCGACCTCACCTCGCGTCCAGCCCGATGGTACACAATAAAGGCCCAATATGATTTAAGTAGGCCGACCGAGCACGTGACCCCTCGACGAGCAGGGAATGCTCCCGTCAGGCAGAGCAGCGTGCCTCAAAACGCCCTCTGCGCTCTCCCCTTCGCGGGGAGGCGCTACCAACCACTGTCCCACGTCGGGCAGAACAGCCCTCCGCGGGCAGAATCCCACGCCAACGAGTAAGGGCCATGCGTATCCCCCACGCCCTCATGTGCTCCCCTCCGCAGGGAGAATTACACACCTTCAGAGAACCTCGCGATCTCCCTACGCGGGCAGAACAACGTGTCCTCCACACGTTCTCCACGTGCTCCCCTCCACGGGGACACGTCACCGACCAACTGCCCACCTCCGAAAGAGCAGGTCAAACCCACTTTCCGGAGATCATGGGACAGTTGAACTAGGGCGAAGACCACGTCCTGGTCTTCACTACGCCACGTAAGCCCTAGCAGTCACCTGGGTTGGGTCTGGCAATCCAGCCCAACACAAGTGACCGTTGGCCCAGCGCTGAGGTGTCTCTATAAATACCCTCTTCCACAAAAGGGTCAGGTAATTCACTTCTTACCCTTTTTCTGTGCTTGTAACCACTTTACCCGTATTCTTACTTTGGCATCGGAGTGCCTTGCAGGTACACCCCCCTCCTCCTCATTATCACCGGTGTACAGGCAAAATCCCAACAGAGTGTGGCCTGTAATAGCCTAATTTTCAATAATTGATTAATTGTACTAATTAATTGGTTTATGTGATTTATTTGATTTAAATGAATTAATTGGATTTATTTCAATTATATGAGTTAATGGATTTAACTGGTTTATTCTATTTGGTAGAATAATATGGATTTACTAGATATTATCTAATTAATGATGAGATGAGATATTTTATGAGAAAATGAATTGGTAGATATTTTGAGAAGAATTATGATGGAAAGAAAATAGAAAGATATAAAAGGAAAGTCGAGGGAAAGGAAAGAGAAGGATATATAAGGGAAATTGGAGAGAAAAGAAAAGAATAGAAAACATAAGAGAAAGAATAGAGAAAGAAGGAGAAAGAGGAGAAAAGAGAAGGAGAAGAAGGAAAAACTTGGAAAAGCTCAAGAACAACTTCTAGCTCCGATTTAATCAAGGTAAGGGTGTGAAATATCATTATCTTATCAATGTTTATGATTATGTATGTGTTTGTTGGTTTGATTGAGATTGTTGAAGAGTTTCTACCATTTTCCCATTCTAGGGCATAAATGAGTTTAATCGGTAGAATCGAGTTTTGAACGGTTAGAATTCAAAATAAATTGCGTAGTTTAGTCAGATAATGTTTAGCCGTGATTATTGGATTTCGTTTGATTGAATTTGGTTGAGTTTGTGAGTTTTGACATTTTTGGAGAATTGAGGGTTTGAGATTTGAGTGGAAATCGGACGTCGTAGAAATCGTGTTTAATGGTTCTAATTCACTGCTATATGTTAGGTGAGTATGAGTATGTGTTTGTTTCGAAAAAAAGAATTGAATCGGTCGGATTTTCGAGCAAAAATGCAAAATCCCGTAGCCATGTTTAGGCAAAATTCTGGTTTTTCGGAAAACTTCGAAAATTCATAACTCTTGAACCGTAAGTCGGTTTTGACTCCCGTTCGAAGCGTTGGAAAGTTAAGGAGATGCTCTTTCTAGAAAAATGGATTTGAGACATGTACCTGGTTCAATTATAGCATAAAATTGAAAACATATCGCTGTGTTGATTTTTACCGTCGCGAATGTGTGTGATTGATGTGTTATTGTGCAGAATACTTTTGTTATATAACGTATAGCTTGTGCATGTTGTGATATGATATGTTGTGGGTAGCCGTATGGCGTGAATCCTAGATGGTGGAATCGATTATGAAATATAATCTTTTGACAAATATATGCATATTGTTTGTATGTGAAGAATGCAGGAGAACATATTGTGAATATGTGCGCATTGCTTGATAAATATGGTAATGATATTGAAGTGTAAATGCATATTGATTGTATGCGATATTGTGAATGCATGAGAACGTATTTGTAGATATGCGTGCATCGCTTGTGTTTGTATGTGAAGAATGCATGAGAACATATTGTGAATATGTGTTCATTACTTGTGATTGTGTGTGAATAATGCATGAGAACATATTGTAGATATGTGTGCATTGTTTGATAA